TCTTCATTTCTCTCTCTCTCCTCTTTTTCTCTTTCTGTCCCTTCCCTCCCTTTCTCCAGCATGGAAGCCAATATTTCCTATAAGTATAAATATAGAATACCAGGAGAGAGATGGACCAGAATGAAAAGAAAGAATATGAAAACAGTCTCATTAAAAATAGAACATAAGGGGGCCCTCCCTGGTGGCGCAGCTGGTTAAAGCACAGCAATAAGAAACTTAAGCCACTTACGCATGAGTTCGATCCCCTCCTGCCCCGGAGGTGACCCACATAGCGAGGCAGACCTCTCCTGGCCCGCCCACTGCTCCCCTCAGCAGTGTACCTCGTCGATCTGCCTGTTCTGCTTCCCGCTCTGTCTCAGATGAATCCTCTCGCCCTCCACATCTCTGGCTTGAACCCCAGTTCTATATGAATAAATAAATAAATCTTAAAAAAAAATTAAAGAACATAAGGGCCCTCCCTGGTGGCGCAGCAAGTTAAGGCACAGCACTAAGAAGTTAAGCCACTTCAGTATGAATTCAATCCCCATCCTGGAGCTGACCCACATGGCGCAGCAGACCTCTCCTGACTCGCCTGTTGCTCCCCTCAGCAGATTACTTCATTAATCTGCTTGTTCTGCTCCCCACTCTGTCTCTGGTGAATCCTCTCACCCTCCACATCTCTGGCCTGTACCCCAGTTCTGTATGCATAAATAACTACATCTTTAAAAAAAAAACTAACCAAGATATAAGAAAATAAATAAATAAACATTTTTTAAAAAATAATGAAAAATAGAATGTCAACACGCTTCCACAGCACTTACCTATACTGAAGGGAGATGCTGAAACTGTAAAGATGATCATAAAATCAGTAGTCTTGGGTTTCAAAGTTTCTGTATCTTCAAAGAGGTTTAAGCATTTTGTGTTTTTTTTTAATATACTTGCTTAGTGGTCACTAAAATATGTAAGCCACTTGCACTGGTATGTCTTGCAGAAAGTAAAAGGATAAAAGTAACTTAGTCATGTGTAAACTTTATATCAAAACTCCATTTTTCTACAAGAAAATACAACTCAGACCAGGGTCATCAAACTTGTGTGCCAAGTGCTTGATAAATATGTAGCTCCTTGAGCCTCACACCAAGAAATTCTGGTCAAATCAGTCGGGCTAGGAGCCCAGGAGTCTGCATATTAATGTCATCTGGGCTTCTGATACAGGTGGGCTACAAGCTTCATTTTGAGAAACACTGTGCAGTGCCTGATTCTGTTGACTCAGGCAGGTGGATAAAGGAGCATCCTGGAGCCCTTCATGGTTTTTTCAGGCTTTTAGTGATCTTTCTACATCATTTATGTAGAAATGATGCAACAAGGCACAGTGCAGGCAAGGGGTCTAGAGGGCCAGGAGGCTGGCAGGTGTCATCTCTGGTGTCATCTCAGGGTCTCTTCCTCTTGTAGCCATCTCACCACTGTGTGCCACATGGCCCTTCACCCCACCATGCTGGTTACACCACCCTCTAACCCCACATGCTCAGTCTCTCAGCTCAGGTGTGCCTACTTACGAACGCCCACACCATATTCCAGGCGCTGCCATCAGACATGGGTACCCCAAACCCATGCTCCCAAGCACCTCCTGCATCCAAGGCCTCAGGTGATAGCCTCAGAGGCCAACAGCACAAAGCCTGAACAATCTTCATTTACCTTACACACTGACTTAATGGGTAAAGGTTTGGGTTTGGAGCTAGATCTGCTTTGTAACATCATGAACTTGGATAGCTCTCTCATCTCCACTTTTTGAGTCACAAGTTGTGAAAACTAAATAAAATACATTGTGGAATGCTTAGCACAGTGGCTAACACATAGGAAGAAGTTCTTAATATCATCATTTGGCTTTCTTCCTTTCCTTTCCTTTTGCTTTCTTTTTAGAAATCCAAAAAAATGAGGCATTAAGCAAGATGAGATTTTATTTAGCTGTCAGACATAATTCTAGAAATTAAGTAGCCCGGGACTAGTTTGGCAGTTCTGCACCCCAAACTATTCACTTCTTTATTTAGTTAGAACCTGCATCTTCGTTACTTGATAAGACAGCTAAAGTTCCAGTGGTCATTATTTGTGTTCCACACAGCAAAATGAAGTGAGAGAAAGAAAGCCACTCTGTCTCAGTAAGGACATGTCCTAAAAGTGTCCTTTGACCATTGACCATTTGTTTATTACTATTGTCCAGAACTTAGCTGCTAAGCAGGCTCAAAAATGTGACCAGGTGGTCCTGTAGCCAAAAAGAAACATGATTTATATTACAATAGAAAACTGTGGTAAAAGAAAATGGAGGAGCAACTATTGTTCCGTAATATAATCAAGCCTAGGAGTCTAGGATTCCCCTGAAATCTGTTCTCATAAAAATCAGGACAGGAGTGGGGAGAGCACAAGGGACTATCATGATGGTGCACAGGTGAATTGGTAGTGGGAATTTCATGGGGGAATCATATGTTGTACAAAATTGATGGGTGATGTGAATATATATATAGAAAGAAATCTGTCTTCACCCTCTCTTACCTGCATATCTCCAGGAATGAATATCATCTCCAGTAGGTATTGCATGGTTGGCTGATCCTACTCACCTTTTTTTTTATTATTATTATTTTTATTTTAAAAGAACAAATTAATTAGGAAAAGGAAAAAGAAAAAGAGAAGTAGGCAGCAGAGCCTAAACTCAAGTTATCTTTTTCCTAAATTCCTCCCATACCTTTCACTTCTTATACCTCAGCTTCATTCATTTTCTTTTTACTATCCAATTTTAATAATCAATACAATTATTTCATTGTATAAAAACTGCAAAACAGGGCCCTCCCTGGTTGTGCAACAGGTTAAAACACAGCACTACTAAGCTAGCTGCAGCTGTTTCAACTCAAGCTCGATCTCTGGCAACCAGGTGACCAGGTCACCACCAGGTCACCTGGTGGTCAGGTCACATCCTGGCCCACATGGCGCAGCAGACCTCTCCTGTCTTACCTGCTGCTGCCCACAGCAGTGTACTTCTACAATCTGCCTATTCTGCTCCCTACTCTGTCTCTGGTGAATCCTCTCACCACTCCTGCACCTTTGGTCTGTACCCCAATTCTGTATGCATAAATAAATAAATCTTTAACAAAAACTGTTTAGCTCTTATGGATACCATTTTCTCAATATTCAAAAATCTCTCCACTTAGGAATAACTATTCTAAAATGTTGGTACGTAGACATCTAGCATTTATCCTTGATAAAAATATACATCTATATTTCCAATGAAAGACTAGGCCAGCTGTTTCTAACCTCTATTATTATATTTAACTATATTATCAACAACTCTCAGTGTTATTAGTTATAGAACAATATCAGCAATTTTTTTAATTTTTTTTAACGATTTATTTATTTATGTATATAGAACTGGGGTACAGGCCAGAGGTGTGGAGGGTGAGAGGACAGAGTGGGGAGCAGAACAGGCAGACTGATGAAGTACACTGCTAAGGGGAGCAGCAGGTGGGCCAGGAGGGGTCTGCTGCACCATGTGGGTCAGCTCCAGGATGGGGATCGAACTCATGCTGAAGTGACTTTAGCTTTTCAGTGCTGTGCTTTAACCTGCTGCGCCACCAGGGAGGGCCACAAACTAAGCAATTTTAATGACTGCAGAGTTTTCCATGTGTTGTGCATGTCATAATTTATTTAGCCATCTCTGTTTATTTCCACAGCATGTGCTAAGCCTCCTAGTACACACATCTTTGCTCACATGTCCACTAATTTCCCAAGGAGAAATTGTATCCCTGTGGTTTTTCTCACTTTTGGGCTCACCTTTCTGGATCCAGTAGAAAAGTGCTTCTCTATTATCTCCTAAGCAAGATGCTGTTTGGATTTTATCTCTACCCCTAAACTCTTGAAAGTCTCTTTAAAGCAAACATTGCAGAGTCAGAAATTTCTTCAAGAACTGAATTAATGCTCATTACATCCCCTAATGAATAGCAAAGCCACCCCCAGGAGAGGGAATGGATTCATCCCATTGCTGAGAAAAGCACAAAATAAAACAGAATCCCATATAACACTGAAGGACTTGCTACTAAAAGCAAGTCTCTAGAACTCTCAGTTGACCAAGCTGACTTTAAGCAAGACCAGGAGCCCTGGTGTGGAGGAGAAACCAGTTTCAATTAGCAGCAAAATGCATTTGACCGATCTGAAAAATGATGATTATTTAGCTGATTTTTATTAATTGACAGTGGATGCCTGGCTAAGTACTTCTTTGTCTCAATTGTGTCCCCTGAAGACCCAAATACTTGGAGTTTACATTTTCTAGAGAAAACTGAGTACAAATTTTCTTGCATCACAATAGAGCACTTTCTCTTTTCAAGGAGTTCCACCTCCATTTTTTTCCTCAACACTAAGGAATAAGTAGAATTGACATCATTAGCCTCCACTGTAGATTATTTAATGTATCGTTGATCAAGCATACACTGTGTACCACACAATATACTAAATGCATGATGAATTTATTTTTTTATTGCAACTATCTTATTAAGGTAGGCATTTTATTACTACCCCATTTAGTAAGTGAATATGGCTTAAGAAAGACTAAATAAATGTCTCTTTTCACACAAGAGAAAGGAGGTGAAGCCAGACCTCAAAATTAGTATTTAGACCCCAGAAAGAGCCAATGACTCACCCAAGTTCACGTAGTTGTAAAGTCAAGTCCAAGTCAAATCCAAAACCCTTTCCCAGCACAGCAATGAAGAATGGGGGAGAGGTGCCACTAGAACCAGGTAGCCTAAATTTAGATCCTGTATCTGCAATTTCACAGCCATGTCACCCTAGCACATTACTAAAACACTCTGTGTTTCAGTCATCCTATCTTAGAAATGGGGATAATGAGCATCTATCTTGAAGGTTAAACAAGACGCTTCATGTACAGCATACAGAAAGGGCTCAGTAATTAGTTAGTAATGTGATACCTCTGTCCCTCCAGCCTCACAGCTAAGTATGTGTTTTGTTGGTCTGTGTCAATGCAGGTGCCTCGAGCAAAGGCCTTATGCAACTACCGAGGGCAAAATCCTGGTGACCTCAAATTTAATAAGGGAGATGTCATCCTCCTCCGGAGACAGCTTGACGAGAACTGGTACCAGGGCGAGGTGAATGGAGTCAGTGGCCTCTTCCCAGCCAGCTCTGTGGAAGTTATCAAGCAGCTCCCCCAGCCACCCCCTCTCTGCCGGGCCCTCTACAACTTTGACCTTCGAGACAAGGACAAGAATGAAAACCAGGACTGCCTGACCTTCCTCAAGGTAAGACTAGACAACAACAGAGAGACTTGGCAGAGCCTGGAGTTGTTTGCTCACCATTTGATGATTTTTTTTTAAAGATGTTGATGATGATGATTTATTTCATACATAAATGTATATAGCAGGGCCTCAAGTAACATCTCTTCATCCAATGTCATTTCATTCAAAGGCATTTATATGTTGCTGAGAAAAAAAATCCTGGCAAAAGGTCAACAACATTATGTTATTCCAGGACCTACTTTCATTTTTTTGTGGTTTTGTTTAGTCACATTCCAAGAACTATCAATGTGTTAAGTGAGGACATACTATGCATATGTGTATATACCTCGACATATACATATGCAATGCATGTGTTTAATTCAGACTACATGGACACAAAGTCCCCAGAGAAATATACTTGATAGAACTCCCTAGACCTTTCTATTGCATTTATAAAAATTGGGATTCACACATTTATTCACTCATGCCACATTTTTGAGTAAGTTCTTTGCAGACACTGGCAGTACAGCATGGACAAGTCAAAGTCCCTGCCCTCAGGCAGAGTAATGTGAAAAACAGATGGATGGACAAAAAGTACAGTGAGAGAGCATGTGTGAAAAACCTCAGCTCCTACTGCTGGGTCACGTGTCTGTAGAGTATTCTTGCTCACCAAGTTATGATCACCTAATTCTCCTAATTTACTACATTCAAATTTGTTGTAAATATTGTATTCAAAATACTCCAAACCCACATGATAACATAATTATACCTTTCTGCATGACTAACTTCTTACAAGATATATTTTCCAAGTGTATTAATTACCCTAAGATTTATTTTGCCTCTTTTTGATTCTTCACCATTTGCAAGTAACACTTCTGCTAAAGTCTAGCCTAACTTAACTCTGTATTCTGTATTTGTTATTCCATAAATATTCAAATTCTCTCCTAGAGACCAAATTTTCATTCTTAAGTACAAGAAGGCACTGCTACAAATAGCTCAAGAAAGGTCTTTTGTTTCGTAAAATATTTTTTTATCCCAGCACTACCAGAAATGTGATTGACTCAGATTCTCTCAACCTAGGTAACCTTAAACTAGATAACCTCATATTTTGAAGTAACAATCTTCACAATTGCCCTAGTATATCAGAGTTTCCTCAGGAAAGTCATTCTATAGCCTGAACTGCCGTTTATGTTCTGACTACTTCTAAAGGAAAGTAGTATTAAGTATTTCCCTCGTGCCAGATGTTAAACTCTGAGCTCTGGGGACCCAGTGGGTGGAAGATATAGGCAGGAGGCACTATCTAATTTTTTGCCCCTCTCTGGGAATTTGCAAACTAGGACACTTCCTCATCATTCATTTAGCCCATCCATGTGCCAAACCAGCTGCCAGGGATAAAGTGATGAGTCACTGACCCTACCTTCACAGAACCGGCAATCTAGTAGAAGGGACAGACACATAGATGGAAAATTACAAACAAAAAGAGAACCTAATGAAAGTGGAGACTTGTGCAAAGCTGAGAGCACACTAGGAAATTTCATGGCCTTCCTAAACTCAAATGTGCAAATTAAACACAAGATCTTCCCTCCTAATACTGCTAGTGTTTTCTATCTCTGTAAATTATATGAGTCATACACATTAATTTTCTCATGCATATATTTAAGAAATATTTATTACATAATTACTAGAAAAGAGCCACTGTCTAAGGTGGTGTGGAAGAGTGAATTAAGTAGACACAAGTTATGCACACCTGGAGCTTATAATCTGATGGGGTAGACAGACATTACAGAAATCATATTAAGGATAGAGAAAGCTAATAAAAGGTATAGTGCACTACTGAACTTGGATATTCATTCATCTAAATTACTGAGAGGCATGGATTAGAAGTTCAGAGAGGTCAGTGAGTGAATATTCAGGTTTTGATTGATGAACAGCGTGATGTGGAAAGGAGTCCCTGATTAGCTAGCTATTCATTCAGAAATCAAAGTACAATGGATGGTGCTAGGAGTTAGGATAGTGGTTACTTCTTGAGAAGTGTTAGGAAAGAACACACAGGAGACTTCTGGGTGCTAGAAATGGCCTGTAACTCTTGATCTGGTTGGGGGTTCTATGGACTCATTAAAACTCATCCAGCTTATGAGAATGCAAACTAGTACAACCACTATGGAAAACTGTTTGGAGGTTACTCAAACTACTTAACATGGAGCTTCCCTATGACCCAACAATCCCACTCCTAGCTATCTACCCAAAAGACACAAAAACATTGATTCAAAAAGATACCTGTACCCCGATGTTTATTGCTGCTTTATTTACAATTGGAAAAACATGGAAGTAGCCCAAATGCCCAAATGACTGGATTTAAAAGATGTGGTACATATATACAATGGAATATTACTCAGCAACCAAAAAAAAAAAAGAAACACATGTTTTTTGGAGCAACTTGGATGGAGCTGGAAAATATCATGCCTAGTGAGATAAGCCAGAAAGAAAAAGAAAAATACTGCAGTATAATGGACCAGGCGAGAAAATAATGAGAATAATGAACAACCATATACCAGAGATGTTTTGTGGGGGTGGAGTGGGGAAGTTCACAGACTATGGTGATGGCACACAGGTGACTTGGTGATGGGAAACCCATGGGGATTACAATTGAGATGAAAAAAAATGTACAAAATGATGTAAATATAAACTATTATATTATAAAGAAAAGAAAAACTCATCCAGCTTGACATCTAAAATGTGTGTACTTTATTCTTGGATGTTAGTGTGTTTTTGAAAAAGTTTCACTAAGTTAGTATATGTATGTGTTTTATCTTTATAGAAGAGAATCTGGGGGGGACAGGTGTTAACTAATGTCCTCACAGTGGTTGCATCTATATTATAGTAGAAATTTTTCTTTATTTTGTTTAGCTATATTTTCAAATGTTTCTAAAAATCTACATGTGACCTTTTATAACAAAAATTGAAATAAAAACTCACTTTGCTAAAGCTTGATACATTAAAAATTGAATAGGTTGAGGAAAGTATTCAAAGTTGAAATTCATTCTTTGTTTTGCTGAGCTAACCATATACCTTCTTATGGCCTCATCTTGATTATCTCCATCAGATTAAATTAAATAAATATCCCATATTTTGTTGGTGATTGAAAATTCAGAATTCTATTGGATTCCATCGATCCTCCAATTTATTTCTATACCTCTTACAGTATTGGATACCCAAACACTGCCCTTTGAGCAGAAAAAAAACATTTCATTTTAGTAGGAATATTTTTTAAATAAATTGCATAAGGGTTGCATTCCTGTCACCTTATCCCATTGAAAGCTTGATTTGCATTGAAAGCTCACAGCACCTGAAAACTGGGAGTGAGTGCTGACTCGAGGCTTTCTCTCTTTCCCCAGGATGACATCATCACGGTTATTGGCCGAGTGGATGAAAACTGGGCAGAAGGCAAGTTGGGAGATAAAGTAGGCATCTTCCCAATTTTGTTTGTAGAGGTACGTGAGTATCAAGTATACATCCATCTTGAGATTATTCAGAGGTGTGCCACAGTGATGCCTGAGAGCAAGTCTTTCATTATATGAAGTAAGTTATAGAACTAGCTAAAGTCTCTAAAGAGTAGATGCCACAAGATAATTGATGGTTCTGGCAAAGTGAGGGAAATGGGCCTTTCTACTCTGCTGATGCAAATGTCAATTAGTGCAACCTTTCATATCAAAACTCAAATTCATATCAAGGGTACTAAAAATGCACATCTCATGGGCCTCCCTGGTGGTCTAGGAGTTAAATCTCAGTACTATCACCTCTGCATCTTGAGTTCGATCCCTGGCCAAGGAACTGACCCACATATGGCACAACAGACCTTTTCTGTCTTGCCTGCTGCTCCCCTTACAGTCATTTCAATAAATCAGACTGTTCTGCTTCCCCACTCTGTCTCTGGTGAATCCTCTCTCACACACAAACACACACATACATACACACACACACACACACACACACTGAACCTTTGGCCTACACCCCAGTTGTTCAATGCAAAAAAAAAAAAATTTTAATTTAAAATAAAGCACACATCTCCTTTCAACTACTAATTCTACATCCAAAAGTCTATTATAAGGAGGTATTAAAACAAATGTGCAAAAACATATATACAAAATATGCAAAAATGTTCACCATAATATTGTGTAGAATAAGTAGAAACCAGAAATAATCTAAATATTCAACAATATTTTTTTAATTATGATGATATTGACCTGCATTTCATTGGTGCATAGTTCTACTGTACAATGTTTGATATTATATTTTAACTGCTTTTTAGCATTCACTTGTTAGTTTTAATAAAGAAGTAAAACGTGTTATCACCAAATAAATAAACAACAATTACAGTGACGGAGAAATCTACACTAGTTAAAAATCATAATGTTAGGGTCCTCCCTGGTGGCACAAGGGGTTAAAGAGCAGCACTATAAAGCTATCTGTAGCCACTGCAGCACGAGTTCCATCTCTGGCCAGGGAGGTGGCCCACATGGCATGTAGCAGACCTCTCCTGTTCTTCCCATTGCTCCCCTGCAGCCTGTACCCCAGTTTTTGTATACATAAATAAATAAAATATTTTTAATTGTTATATTAAAGAAGAATGCTTAGTATCACAGAGGATTTTGGCATTATGAAAGAATATTTATAACTTATTGTTAAGTAAAATAAAGTTTAATGGATGTAAAATTTCAGATTTAGTAGTTGAAAAAATTCTGAAGATCTCTGTCATGGCCATATGAATATACTTGACATTACTGAGCTATCTATTTGAGAATGGTTATTGTGATAAATTTTGTATTATGTTTTATGCAACAATAGAAAACAAATGGAACTATATGACACTAACTTTATGAATATGCCTGTGTGTGTGTGTAAATGGGTGAAGAACTAGAAGGACATTAACAATGATGAACACTCTATATTGAAACTCTAGATAATTTTTATTTTCTTCTGCTGATTTGCAAATTAAAAATCTTCTGAAGTGAACATATATCACCTGTTTCTGCTATTTTTTAAGATTTACTTATTTATGCATACAGAACTGGGGTACAGGCCAGAGGTGCAGGGGCAGTGAAAGGATTCACCAGAGACAGAGTAGGGAGCAGAACAGGCCCACTGACAAAATACATTGCTGAGGGGAGCAGTGGGCAGGTCAGGAGAGGTCTGCTGTGCCGTGTGGGTCACCTCCGCGTTGGGGATAGAACTTATGCTGACGTGGCTTTAGTGCTCTGCTTTAACCCGCTGTGCCACCAGGGAGGGCCTCCTTCTGCTATTTTTAAAACAGAAAAACAGATGCTAAGCCATCTACTTACTTATCTAAAATGATAAAATAATCTAGAATCCCTAAACTCATCTTCAGTCCTACCCTAGCTTGAAGCAAATCATTTCAAATTTAAGGAGAGGCTTCACTGATTTTTATTGGGTGCTTACCAGGCATAAAGCATTTCAAGTGAGCAATAGGCAACTATACAAAAAGTAAAAGCATACTCCCTGCCCTCTAGAAGAACAACATGAAAAGAGAATAGAAGTGTAAGGGGAGAGAAGAGAACAGCCGCTCCCTTCTACTTAGAAAAGCCAAAGCAGGCTCTGAAATGAATGGTGTGCAGAGAACACTGTCCAGCTCTCAAGGGTCTCTCTGCTGGCCTCTGCTCAGTCATTCGAAGGGATCAAAATGGAAGGAGGCTCAGAGGAAGAGTTTGGAGAAGCCAATCTTCTTACTGTTTCTAATTAATGAGTTTCATTCCTAGTGTTGTTTTCTTATCCCCGAGGCCCCTTGTTTTATATACATCCAATCTTTCTACCTGTTCAAAATGTGCTCATTTCAAAAGTCTCAGCCAGAAATCCACTTTCTCCACAAATCTTCAGCAACTCAATGAACTCTCAATTCTCTTTTTGTTCCCTATCTGATGGGTGTCAGAAATTCATTGAACTCTCACTTGTCTTTTTTTTCTCTGAACATCTGATGAGTGTGTTGCTGGTACTTCTAACATGAACTAGGTACTATGTAAAACATTAGCTTAATGAGTAAATGACTGAAAAAAAATTTAGAGAACAAACCATTTAGTGTAATGTTCTATACATAGTCATTCAACTAATTTCTCATAGTGCCTGCTGACGCTCCTGTGCTAAAGTTTAAAGATACGAGACAGAAACAATTTAGGAATCGTAAAGTCAGACATTAATCAGATGTAAGTGTGATAAATGATGCAAATAGTAAAGTAGACAGGACTATTGGGAGGAGGAAGTATATGATATCTAATTTATCTAGGCAGGAGATTGGCAAATGCATCTTGAAGCAAGATCTGACAGCTAATTAAGAGTTACGTAAATAAGCATGGAAAGAAGAATGTTTTGAAGAATGGAGGTAATATGGGCTAAAGTCCTAGAGGATGAGAACGTGTCCAAAGGAGCAAACAAATACTAGAGCTAGAGCTTAGAACATAAGCATTGACACAGTGAAGCCACAGAGCTACATGGGAGACAGATCACTGTCAGCTTTGTAAACCACCTTGTATTAGTCAGGATAAGCTACATTATGCTCCTGTAAATACATCAACAATCCCAAGGCCCAGTGGCCTAGGAAAGATCAAGTTATTTCTCACACACATTACACATTCAGAACAGAATAGTGGGAGGCTGCACTCTTGCAGTAACTCAGGAGCCAAGAACGTAGCTGGGCCACCTGGAATCCGAGGACTTCCTAGTTTTCATGGCAGAGGAAGGGCAAGGAAGTGAGTTGCAGACCAGCCAAGGTCTCTGCTCAGAAGTCACATTTGTCATTTCCCCTCACAACTCTTTGGTCTGAACTTGTCACAGACCCCTCCCTGTCTCCCAGTTAATAGAGAAGATAGGGGACTACCTGGAACATTCGATGGGTATTGTTACTCAGTGGCATAAGTCGAAGCCATTAAAAGATTTTAATGAGGCATCAGGTTTTGTTTCTTAGAGATTGCGCTGGTTGCTGTGAGAAGAATAATTTGAAGAGGGGAGAGGGAAAAGGAGAAGGACCAGCTAGGAGGCTACTACCTGGCTCAGTTAGAAGATGATTGTTGCTAGGACTTGTAGATTGGAAGCAAGTGGACACGTGCAAGGACCTTTTTTAGGAAGTAGATTCACAGGAAGTTAACAGAAGTGGGGAAAAGAGAACAGGAAGTGGTTAAGGATCACCCCCCACTCTCCAGTGTATGTGCTGAGGTCAGTGGTAGAGCCATTTGCTGGGTAAAGTAACAGTGCTAAGGAGGAACATTGTGATGACAAGGAGACATACTTTGTCTCCAAGGACACAGATCAACTACAACTAATACCTTGGTGAACATTAGGAGGTGCTGAAATTTTTGCGGATTAGAGCTTGTCTAATCTGGGGAAAGAAAGGCGCCACTGATTTTATTATCCATTTCTAATACCTTTCCCCTCCCCCCCCCCAGAACATCTACATTTAATGATTACTCATTTGGATACTCGCCTCAGCACTTCACCTTTAAAATTAGTGTTTAAAGAACCCTCAAGATTATCATCAAACTAGCCATTGCTACAGTTGTTCTCCTAATTGCTGGGGGGGGGGGGGGAGATAATCAAGTGGTTGCTCTAATCTGGGAACCTGGTTTTCAAAAATTATTTGAAATCCAAATTGAGCTTTTTAAAGCACTTCTTAAATTTTGGTTCCATTCATTTCATTAAGACTAGCAAGCACTCATTAAGGATTCTTTAAATAAGCTTTGAATTACCTATGTCATGCAAAGCAATTGGAAGGAAGGAAGTTTTCTTTTATGAGAGTGATTTGGGCTTTTGATTTTATTTTTACCTAAACAGGATTTTTTCTGTTAGTGTATCATTTGATTTACTGAATTATACCTGTATAAAAAGGTGGTGAAACAAATGCTGAGCTTATGCTGATTCTTGTCAGGACTTCTCCAACATCTGGGTTATAGGAACCTTGCTCAGCCTGATAAATCTTGAGGATTTTGTTTCAAATGAGTGGGTGCAAATTTAAGATCTTCAGCTCTTCTGCCAACGGACTATTAATCATGTTGACAAAAGAGAGTGCAGACCAAGAGTTACATGTACCCTTTGTGAATGTTGCTGATGGAAACATTGATGGTGTTGCTCACCTGCAGACACAACAATTAGAAGGAGGCAGAAAAAATTAATACACTTTATCACACTTGTAAATGACTATAGAAAAAGTGACGTACTCGGATCACCATATATATGTCTTCTTACTGGGAGAATAAAGGTGGGATAGGAGCTCTGGGGAATGTCAGACACTGTCCCTAGTTATGGCTTTTGTAACAGCTCATCTAACTTCAGTTCAGCTCATCTAACTTCAGCTCATCCAACTTCAATCACTCTGCCACTCCTAAATCACAGCCAGAATGAGTTTTTTTATTTTCTTTTCTTTACATGCAGTAACATTTACTCTGCATGTAATGTGACCACACCACAATTCAGGTGTAGTATAGGTCAGACCCTCCCCCAACATATAATAGCATGCTGCCTCCTTGTATGAATTCCTTCCCAAGCTCCTACTCCCTGCAACCACTGATCTTATTTCTGTTCCTGTAGTTTTCTTTTTGTATAACAACTTAGAAATGGCATCATACAGAGTTTAGTTTTTTTGAGTCTGGTTTTTTTCGCTTAGCGTGATGCATCCGAGGTGCATTCATGCTATGAGTGCATCATCCCTGCTTGTCATGGAGTCATGATCCATTGTACAAGGTGTGCATGTTCATTCACCAACTGAATGACAATGTGCTTGTTTGGTACTAAAATAAAACTTCTGTAAACTTTCGCATACCGATTTTTGAGTGAGTATAAATTCTCTTGGGTAATTATCTAGGAGTGGGATTGCTAAGTCAGGTGCTAAGTATATGTTTCACTTTGTAAAAAACTGCCAAACTGTAGAATGAGCTTTGTAGAACATAATTTAAATCATGTCACTCCTCTCCCTAAATCCTGCCAAAGGCTTCCCATGACTCTCATAATATACTTGACGCCCACAAGTCCTTTGTAACCCAGCCTCTGCCTCTCTCTGTGGTCTCCACTTCACCCCCTATTCCTGGCTCAATCCATTCCAGTTCTCTTTGTTTCTTGCCTGTCTTTTTCTTCAAACAAAGTGCTTGCTTCCCTCTTGGGGAATCTTTCCAGTAGTTTATAAATCCCTCTGCTGGGCATCACTCCCATCTTCTTGTGGCTGGCTCCTTGTTGTCAGTGTCTCAACTACAGTATCACCTTCTCAATGGGCCTTCCTTGACCCCCAGTTCTAAAGTAGCCCTCACTCTATGTCACATCAGAGCATTTATTAACTGTTCTGATTTGTAAGTTATTCCATCTGGGTTTCTATGCTCTCTTTAAAAAAAAAAGATTTAGTTTTATTTATTTATGCACACAAGAACTGGGATCTTATAGGTGCATGGGAGTGAGAGGATTCACCAGAGACAGAGTGGAGAGCAGAATAGGTGGATCTATGAAATACACTGCTGAGGGGACCAGTGGGCGAGGCAGGAGAGGTCTGCTGTATCATGTGGGTCAGGTCCCTGGCTGGGGATAGAACTCAGGCCACCATGGCTGGCATTCTTCAATAGTGCTGAGACTTAAACCCTGCACCACCAGGGAGGCCTTGGGCTTTTACTCTCTTATTGTCATTGTGGACATAATAATGCCCCTTCCTCTACTTGGCTTTTTTCTTTACAAAATTAAAAGCTTCTTGAGGTAGACACTAAATCTTCTTTAAAATTTTCTATCGTGGCTATTTTAATCATTGTCATTAAAAAGTTCCTAAATGGGGCCCCTCCATGGTGGTATAGTGGGTTAAAGCATAGCACTAAGAAGCTAAAGCCACTTCGGCATGAGTTTGATCCCCAGACCCATATGGTGCCTCAGGCCTCTCCTGACCCACTTGCTGCTCCCCTCAGCAGTGTACTTAGTAAGTCTGCCTGTTCTGCTCCCCACTCTGTCTCTGGTGAATCCTCTCACCATCCCTGCACCTCTGGCTTGTACCCCAGTTCTGTATGCATAAATAAATCAATCTTTTAAAAAAAAGTTCTTAAATGGGAAAATTCCCTTATACCTCTATAGCTGAATCTAGAGATTAGAATAAAACATGGTTTACAAGGCAGTTAGTAGCAATCATAATAATGGAAATATTAAGTTGTCATCCTGGAAAGTTTTATTCACACCAGCCCTTGTTTTGTCAACATATTTCAGACTTGTGAGGGATATTAACTCACAGGGAACCTTGGTGGGTAAGATATTCAAAATCAGTTTTTGTTGGAATTTACCCATGTAGTGGGGAAGGTAGACATGGGGTCGCACTGGAGCCAGCTGTTATGAGACAACAAGAACGTTACATTTTCAGGAATTTTGCTAGCCAACTGTTAACCATCAGGAGATTTTTACATCATAGACACGATAAGCTCTGTACATCAGGGCTTTTCTTTTCTGATTTACAATATACCACTGAGTAAGAGGTAGAGATGGTAATGAACATATTTAAGGAAGTAGTAAAAGATGGTCTTAGCTTAAAGATTCAGAAACTGAGAGGACTTGCATACTTGCTCCACACTTATCAAATGTATGAACTTGAGCAATTCTCTCCACTCATTATTCCACAGGCACTCTCTAAGCATCCACCAGGGCATAGAGCAGGGAGTAATGTGTACAAGGTCCCTAACCTCAGGTAGCTAACAGTTCAGCAGAGGAAAGGAAATGATTACAGCGTGGGATGAAAAATGCCATGAAGGGGGGAGTATTGGGGCTGTGGGACACTGAGAAGGCAAAGAGACAACCCAGCGGGGTCTCAAGGATATTTGACTAAAGGAGATCAGGAGGGGAGCACCCAAGGTGGAGAGGGCTGGGGTGAAGTTGGGAGAGATGGGCAAAGGAAGAGTGCTCCCACTCCATCAGGGAAACTGGCTTATTTTTAACCCCTTTGGAGCTCAGTAGAAGAGTAGGAACTACCTTGTTTCACTGATACAGCAGTCACTGGGACATACTGGTAAAGATAGCAGCTCACCAAGAAGTGATGACTGAGACGGTGGCATCTGAGTTGGCTTCAGTCTAACCTCAGTGGGTCTGAGCTGCTCACTGTAGATCAGGCTGACTAACTTCTCCCCGGACTTTTTGTCTTTTCAGCCAAACCTCACAGCCAGACACCTCCTGGAGAAGTACAAAAGCCGTCAGCCATCCCACCCAAAAAGCCTCTCCTTGGTGTCCTCTTCCTCCAGAGGCAAAGAGATCAACACGCCCACCCTCCAAAGGGGCCCTGGGTCCAGGAGGAAGGTGCCTGGGCAGTTTTCCATCACAACAGCCTTGAACACTCTCAACAAGATGGTTCATTCTCCCTCCGGGCGCCACATGGTGGAAATTAGCACCCCAGTGCTCATCAGCTCCAGCAACCCCTCTGTGATCACCCAGCAGTTGGAGAAAGCGGAAGTTCCTTCCAGTTCTCTGGGGCAGGTAGGAAATAAAACCCCTGGACCAGGGCACCTGGGAGTTTGGCCAATGCCCCTCACCATGTTTAGTACCTGTGGAACACCTGCAATGCATACATACTATGTGTCAGCTGTATTTGCATGATGTGGAATGATTTCATCCTTGAAACAGCCTGTTGGTTAGGTGTTATTATCTCCACTTTACAGATGAGAACTAAGGCTTAGAAATGTTAAGAAACTTGCCATATTCTTATATACACTTTGGCTTTCATGCTAGGGTCTATGACATGGATTCTGTTCCTTGGAGAACCTCCCTCCAAGGAGATGATTACACCTATCCAGACAGGGTTATAGCTGCATAAATTGAGAGTCACTGTTTCATCCTCTAGTGTGGATCTAGACATCACATGAAAAGGAAGAGAAAGAAACAATGGGTTATTGGGTGTTTTAAGACTGGTTATATAATTTGCAGGGCCCAGTGAAAAATTGAAAACGCATAATTAAGAACTTCAAGACAGTAACAGCAGAGTATTAAACAAGTGCAGGCCCCTCTAAGCTCAGAGCCATGTATGACTACATGTGCTCCACACCCAGGAAGCCAATCCTGGGTGTTTTCATGTGGAGCATCTAATTGGACAGTTTTATGTAATGTGATTAGTGCAAACCCTGGCATGTACTAAGCACCCAATCAGCTCTAGCTTTTAACACTGCAATTATTAAGCCTTGTCCTGAGTTGCCAACTGAAGGAGATAGGACAGCAGAGGGGAAGTCATGGCAATCCAGAAGCAGAAGTGCTTCTAATAGTGTGTTGCCGATTTCGGTTGGAGGGCCCTTTAACAGATGAAGGGCTGGAGGTATGAGGCAAAGTAATTAAGGAGAGCTGCATGTTGGGTATTCCGCTGAAAACACTCTTTGGAACCACGTGGGTGGCAGCTTGAAAGGACAAACCTCAACTTGCAGCAGTGTTTTTTTTTTTTTTAAGCTGTAAATCTTGTTTTTAAACATGAATCTCTACCTTGGGATTAAATGACTTAATTGGACTCTAATCCCTTTCTAACAAGACAAGGAAGAAGAGAAAAGTCAAGGGTTCCCTCAAGCCCCATGTGCTGGTCTAAAAGGAAAACAATCACCTCACGATACTTTCTATCTCGTGTCACTGACTGGATCTCTGAGAGGCTGGTTGTTCACGTAATTCTTCCTACCACCTGCACTGCATGTGTGTGAACACCACACACGCACACACAGTGTATTTCCCCTGTGTGTGCAACCTTTCCATAAAAGACTTAGCACTTCCTTTCTACATACACAATCCAAACACTTTTTTACAAGTCTAAACATGTGTTGGAACAAAGTTTTCCCTCCAACACACTTGCATGAACATGTGCATACATGCGTGTACACACAATCTCTAAAATGGGAGCCTAGTGACTCACAATTAAGCCAAAGAATAGCAAAGTGTTTCTGAAACTATTCTTTGTATATAGACATTGGGATGTAAAGTAGTATGCACACTTGCTGATACAAACTGGCTGGCTTTGCAGTGAGTTGGCTTCTCAAAGATTTTGCGATGAGCCATTCTTCTTCTATCTTTTAAATTCTTCTGCCTGGTCATTTATCTCATCTATGGAGACTGGACTAAAATGGAGAATCCTAGTAGGAATGAAAATAAGCAGTATTCCTGCAAGTTTTCATGAATGGTGAGAATTCCAAGGCACGGCACATTTATACCCTGTTCCTAGAGAACTACTGCAGAGGCAATGGCCTTTTCTCGATCCAGCTGGCTGTGGGCTATAAGCATTTCTACATATTTATCCAGGTGTTGTGAGAAACTCACTCAAAATGTCCCACTAATAAAAAGCATCTAAAGATGAGTGGAAATTTGAACAAATGACAAACATTCCTGCTTCCATTTGTCTAGCCTCCTGGCTGGGTCCAGCTTCTCAAGTTCCCTCTTCCCTCTTCTCCTAGCACCCCTCACAGTGCCTATGTACTACTAGCTGTCTAGTAAATCAAAGCATCAAGACTTTGCACTTAATTATCTGGGCATGATAGTAGTGATGTATACGTAGACAGGGAAGATTGGAGGAGGAAGAGTCTCCTATGGAAATATCACAGGTCAGTGTAACACTTTCAACCAGTAAACCTCTGCTGAGTGATTACAATGTACTAGCAACTGTGGTGTGTACTAGGGATTCTATTACCGAAACAGCAAGAACAGTAAGAACAACCTCAAACTTTTGATAGTAAAGTCTTCTTTTGTTACATCTCTTCAGCCCACCTCTCCATCCTAAAAACCTTTGGTAAAAGCCTTTGTGACAGTTTGCAGGAAAAATACTGTAATTAAGGCCCCCAACAGAAAGGATTTGGCCAAGTTCATGGAATTAGTAAATGGTGTCTACATCTGCTCTAGAATTGTGTAACTCTCAAGGATAGGCTGTTGTCACTACATATTTTCACCAGCCTCATCTGGTGACATTGTGTCAGTGTAGTTCTTTCTGGAAATCTGTAGCTCTCCTTGTCTTAAATGTCTTCACTTGACTACCTTTAGACTCCAAACCTATCTTCATTCTTCTTCCCACACACCTTTCTGTCAATATTTGGCCCTAAGTCTTCTGAACCTCAGAAGGTTTCAGTTATTCTCACTGTGTCCTAGTATTGTGTATGGTACCCAAGACACCAGGAATAAGCTCTCACTTTAAAGTTCACAGTCTAGCAGGGAAACAAAAAGTAGGTGACTGACTGTAATGGAACCAGGACTTCCCAAAGCCCTGATTGAGGACCCACTGGCACCTGCACTGACTTATGTATATGTATGTGGCAGAGAGAACAGATCTTAACACAGAACTGTAGACCAGGAAAGTTAGTCTCTCCCCAATTTTCTCCAAGCTCCTGATGATACAGGAAGACCTTAGTTTAGTGCTGGTGTGTCTTTAATACTTGCCAATCTCACTCTAGAAGGAAAAGATAGCAAGACTTTAGTCTTAAAAAAAAACACAACAAAACTAAACAAAAATAATCTGACAACTATAAATCAGAGACATTCTGCAGGGGAAGAGGAAGGAGAGAGCTCAAAATGAGGGAAGCAAGAACACAAAGGACTAAGGTGATGGTGCACAGGTGAACTGGTGGTGGCACACCATTGCCCATCTCTGAATGGAATGGCACCATACAGTACAATTTATTATATTTTCTAGTAGCTACCTTTCATATCTCCAGGTAATACCAGCTTTAGGTTCACAAAATTGCATGAAAACCTTTAATATTATATTGAAATATTAAAGTTTTTTTTCTTTAAAGAACAGTAAACTAGTAAAGGTACAATTGGTGGTATATGGACCTGGCAGAAACAATGAAGAAGGAGTGAATGCAGTTCAGAAAACACTGACCAGAATAAACACATGTACCTAGAGTCTGTTCAAGAGTTAAAGAAGCAGAGAGATAATCTGTTAATTTCAGTCTTTTGTTACCTGGAAGGATTTTTGAATGTTAGTCCCTGTAGACCAAAAAGTCTATGGAAACTATTTTTAGTGAAGAACCTCTTTAAAGCACACCCAGACCTCCAGCAGACGGAAGGGGCTAGAGGAGGTAGGAGTCAGTTTTCTGAAAACACCTCTTACATCATCCCAGTTTAATAGTCCTGTGCTGCTTCTATGGTAAAGACAAGCCTTGAATTGTTCTTGAAGTCTTGAAATATCCCAAGAAGCAAACACTACATTCTCATCAAGACAAACCAGTGCGAGGATTCTTATTTTCCTATTGTCATTGTGTCTTCCTACCTGTGGGAAACCACCTGGAACATCTGAGTAAAATGTCAGGAAGTGACCTCCAAGATGAACTTTGCATTCAACACAACTGCACTGTGAAACAATTGAGGATTAGACCCAAAGGTGCTGAGTAGGTTTCATGGGAAAATGCAGTCAGTGGGGTCAAGTAGGAGGGTTGGCACCAAGGCATGACTTCTGGAAAAGTCCTGCAGATGATCTTGAGCTCTGCCCTGAGAGAGATATCTCAGCAGGAGAAAGAGAGTCAGCTGCGTGGGACTTGAGTCACAAAGGTCTTCAGCACCTTCTCTTGGGGGGAAGGCACAGTAGCCAGCCTGCAGTCTATTTTTTATACATTTAATTTCTTTATTTGTGTATATTTTACATCAAGGGTAGTTCCCATAGAATTTCCACCACCAGTTCACCTGTGCACCATCACCTTAGTCCTTTGTGTTCTTGCTTCCCTCATTTTGAGCTCTCTCCTTCCTCTTCCCCTGCAGAATATCTCTGATTTATAGTTGTCAGATTATTTTTGTTTAGTTTTGTTGTGTTTTTTTTTAATTGTTATTATTATTTTTCCTTTATCCCTTATACGGTTCCCCGCTATTCTTCCCATAAGCGAAAACATCTTCTTGATCCAGTCACCTATTTTTGGGCATTTGGCTGGTTTTCACACCTTACCTATTATAAATAGTGCTGCAATAAACATAGGGGTGCACATATCCTTTTGAATTAATGTTCTTGTGTCCTTTGGGAAGATCCCTAGAAGTGGAATTCCTGGATCATATGGTAGCTCCATTTTTAGTCATCTGAGGAAACTCCACACAGCCTTCCATAGTGGTTGTACCAATTTGCATTCCCACCAGCAGTGTAAGAGAGTTCTATTTTTGCCACATGTTCGCCAATGTTTTTTGTTGTTAATTTTTTTAATATGTGTCTTTCTGACTGGTGTATGGTGGTATCTCATTGTAGTTTTGATTTACATATCCCTGATCATGAGGGCTGTTGAACATTTTTTCTATGTCTATTGGCTACTTGCATTTCCTCTTTAGAGAAGTATCTTTTGAGTGGTGCTGCCCATTTTTGACTGGATCACCCTGCAGTTCTAAATGTGATTTGTTCCCCAAGGCGAACCTACCTGCCCCGCCTCCCACACTCATGATATTCTCTAACACCAGGCATCCTAAGAGGTTCTCTCCCTCTATTTCCCTCCCAGCCAACTCAACCTGTTCCTCCATTCCCCCCCACCCACAGCCAATTTCCC